TGGCATTTTAGAGACTCTAAATTTAAAAATTTCCTCGGGCCTTCGGCCCTCGCTTTCAGCCCCCCCAATCGAAAAGAGCTTCCTACGGCCCTGAAATGAGTGAACTCGCGGCACATAAAAGTATAGAGTCGCTTTTCATAAGTAAACAATTCTAAGTCTTTTGCATGTCATTCATTCGATCACATTTGCCAGGAGAAGAAAAATCCCCGACAGAATTGCTATCGTGTGAATGGCGTGAATACACAATGCATGAAAAAGGTAATGGTGATTTCATCAGGGAAGAGTACTGGACCACCGTCCGAGATGTGAAGAATCCGACCGGACAACAAAAATTCCCAAACCTCCCCGAATTTGTTCAGATCCTAGCGACATTTCCTTCCTCAGATGCTGCCGTGGAATGGATCTTCAGCTCGCTAAAATTGATCAAAACTGACCGAACAGCATCGTTAAAGTCATCTTTACTTTAGTTTCTCTTCTTCAGTTGAATATGGCAATGAAAAAAGGAAAGTTTTCAGCAGCAGCACTTAAACCAAGCGAAAACATGCTAAAACTAGCAAACAATATGAAAGTAAGGGCGACAGACGAGGAGGTAAAAGATTTAAAGAAAAATTGATAAAAAAGTCGTTTAAGTAATATGTCGTTCGAGAAAACAGACAAAAATGAAACAACACAACATGTTTTTTCAGGTTAATTATCATTATTAAAATTAATTTTGAACGGTATAGACTATTGACTATATACTACTCACTCTGTAGTGATCTGGAACACTAATGTTAGATAATTGGATTTTATACCGTGCAATGGTTGAAATGGTTAAATGTACTATTACTACTATAGAGGTTGGCTGTAAACTTGTAATCCTAAATATCTTAAAGGGGAAGTCAAGTCCGTAATGTAAACAAACGGTTTGTTTACATTTTGAACTGCTGTATTTTTTAAAATATGATATACTGTCTGAATATAAACTAACACTATTTTGGTTCGCTACGCTTCTAAATGAATATGAAATAAAGTTTATGTTCAGAAAAATTCGAAACATTCGAAATTTGGGCAATGTTCACATTAGAGGTCCTCACATTGTTATGAGCAGAACCGATGCGCAGAACGGACTTGACTTCCCCTTTAAGTTAATTATTTTTCTAATATTAAATTAGAGATTCACTATTTGAATACTGCAGTACACCTTCAATTTACATCGAGATTACAGTATAATTGGAAGGAAAAATGGAAGGAAATTTAGGTTTTTCGGAAGGATATTCTGCGAAAAAAAAGAGACAAAAACGAATACTATCACAGAATAAGTCACACAGAAGGCCGACTTCTTGGTTTTTCCATAGTTTTTCCTATGGTTTTCCAATGATTTTGGCGTAACCGTAATTCGTCATCAAAATGCTGACCCTATGGTCCCAGCCAGTGCGCATTTGAGAGGCATTCACCCCCTGAATATTACAGACGTCCAGGGGGGAAATGCCTCTCAAACGCGCACTGGCTAGGACCATTGGCAGCGGTTACTCGAGTCGACCTTTCGGAAATGTTGGCGACGGGGGGGGGGAGAAAATTTTTCCCGTCGTACCCATTGAACTATAAATAAACTGGAAGGCTAACTCAGGGGGGGAAATTGAAGCCAGTGCATTTTAGTTTTTCTGAGTTATGAGCAGAAATACTCAACACTGAACGTTGGGCTATATATCAAATTGAAGCTATAGAAAAACGCTATTTGGTGTAGAAATTTCAAGACTTTAGCTAAAAGGGAAATATTGAAAAACTACAAACATAATTACCGATAATTTGCCGTTTTGCAGTTGTTTTCGTATTTTTTAAATATTTTTCTTTTCGCCGAAGTCTTGAAATTTCCACACCGAATAGCAATTTTCAATAGCTTCAATTTGATATATAGCCCGACGTTTGGGGTCAAGTATTTCTGCTCATAACTCAGAAAAACTATTTTGGCTTCATCAAATCATAGGCCTTCATCATAGCAGTTAGCCTTCCAGTTTCCAGTTCAATGGTCGTACCATACCGAAATTGCACGTTTTTGACCAAATTTTTTAAAAAAACTTGGAAATTTCCAAAAAAGGGTCACTTTTCATCACAAAAAATGGCACTTTTCATCACAAAAAAGGGCACTTTTATTTAGTCCTTTGAAAAAATTGGGGGGGGGGGGGGGCCCCCC